TCATAACCAGTACGGAATACTTTCTCGAAATTGCAGCAAACACTTCAATTTTCCGAACTTAAAATCGACCGACACAAAAAACAATATGGGAAACTTCCCAGCCGGCGCGCGTTAATAGCAACCGTAGCTGGCGAAAAAAGTCATCTATTATACGTCACAAATGTGATAACGAAAATTCGCTACCTCGTCTATAATGGCGCAGAAGTTAGCGTTCATCCAGCAAATTCTAACGACCGGCTTCACGAATTGGTTTTAAATCTACATGCGACTAACGGAAAGCCTATCTCCACATAGGGTAAAAGGTACGTTTACCTTAACGTGGGTTTACGGGAACCCATTCACTGGATCTTTGTTGTCGCAGATGATTCTATGCTAATCATTGATACAGACCTCCTACAACATCACAATCTACTCATAGATGCGCGCAAACGAGGGCTAGTAGACGGAAACACCAGTTTTTCCGGTTATAGATTATCTTCTGTCTTCTATCAACCATTACTTGATAAGTATTATGGGATATACTAACCACAACCGAGATCTCGGTGTGTAGCCAGCAATGTTACACGTCACATCATGACTACAGGAGCGCCTGTATTCTCGAAAGCGCGCCGACTAGCTCCCGAAAAGCTGAGGTTGGCTAGAAACGAATTCGATCACATGATAGGATTAGGAATTATTCGGCCGTCAACAGCTCATGGGCATCTCCCTTGCACATGGTCCCTAAAAAGGACAGCAACGATTAGCGTCCAACAGGTGACTATCGACGATTGGATGCGAAAACCGTTCCCGATCGTTACCCGTTGCTTCACATTCACGATTTGACAGCTACCTTCAAAGATACAACTTTGTTTCGAAAATCGAGTGGGTTAAAGCTTATAACTAAAGCCACTGACGGCATTCCTGAAAGCACTATCATCACCCTTTTGGGACTCTACGAATTTTCGTGCACGACATTCGGCCTAAGGAATGATGCCAAACATTCCAAAGGTTCATAGATGACGTTTTTCGAGGTCTCAACTTCGTACATGCGTATGTTGATGACTGCTTGGTAGCAAGTTCGGACACAGTATCCAATCTCCAGAATCTGAACCTTGTTTTAGAACGACTGCAAAAACATGGCATTACTGGTAACATTCAGAACTGCCAAATCGAAAACGACTGCTTGGATTTCCTAGGACATATTATTGATGCACAAGGCATGCGACCTCTTAGAAGCAAAGTGATTGCCGTTTTGGATTATGCAGAACCGACTACTATTAAACACTTACGCACATTTAACGGCCTTGTAAGTTTCTATTGACTGTTTATACCGAACTGTGCATCACTTATGAAACCGCTAACCGACCAACTTCGTGGAAATGCGAAATCCATCAATTTGGACGATACCGCGAGAAAAGCATTCTCGCGAGAGCAACTATGCTTGCACATTAGGACACCCATTAGTATCGCAATGGACGCATCCAACTCGGCAATCAGAGGAGTTTCACAACGATGAGTTAACCACATCTGTCAACCTTTAGCATTTTTCTCGAGACGGTTGCTAGACACTGAATAAAGGTACAGCACTTTTGGTAGGGAAATCCTAGCTACGTATTGTGCTGTACGGTATTTTCAACACTCTGTCGAAGACCGAGGTTTCGCTCTTTCTACTGATCATAAACCTCCTACCTTCTCTTTAGGCTTATCTTCAAACAGGCACTCACCTCGTGCATCTCGACAACTGGACTATTTCGCAGTTTACTTCAGACATTTAACATATTTCTGGGGCGAACAATGTAGTCTCAGATGCCTTGTCTCATATAGTATCCTTGAGCAGTTCCTTAGGAATTGACCTTCTCAAACTCGCCCAGCTTCAAAAGAAGACACTGATCTTCAGCACGAATTATCTTCAACAACCCTAAAACTGCGTATTAAACAGATGGGGACAGGTAAGGAAACCTTAATATGAGACACGTCTACAGGTAGGGATCGTCCAATCGTGCCAAAACACTATCGACTCAACGTCGTCAATACGTTGCACAAACTTTCTCATCAAGGCGTACATGCAACCATCAAGCTCATAGCAGAACGGTTTAGTTGGCCTGTTATGAATAAAGACATAAGGGAGAGGGCACGCTCCTATGTAAGCTGCCAGAAATCTAAGGTGATTAGACACAACAAATGTGTTTTAGGCTCATTCAGAAATCCCGATGCTCGTTTCGACCACGTACATCTTGATTTGGTGGGGCCCTTACCAGATTCAAATGGATACTCTTAAAGCGTGCAGACCAATTCACATAATGGTCAATAACAGTACCCATCATGGACATTACTTCCGAAACAGTAGCCCGTGTCTTCGTCAAACGGTGGGTAACAAAATTCGGTTGCCCTCGAACTATTACTATAGACCATGGACGCCAGTTTGAATCTTGACTTTTCCGTTGTCTGACTACACTATTGGGAATCACACGATTCCAAACGACAACCTACAAGCAAACAGGTTGTTAGAACGCTTTCACCGACAACTAAAAGCTTCCCTATCAACTGCAAACGCTTCACATTGGACCTACTCTCTTCCACTCGGTGTTCGCAATATTGCATATGCATTGAAAGCTGACGTTGGATACACTGCAGCTCAGCTCCTTTATGGGACGACACTTTGCCTGCCGAGTGAATTCGCGGATCATACACATTCAATAAATATGGGTCTAACCTCCTACACGAGCAGGCTTACAAGCGCAATACGTTCAGTTAAACCTGTTTCCACTCGACTGCAGTCAACTGATGTTTTCGTTCAACCTGACTTTCGATATAGTACACATGTCTTTGTTCGTCGAGACTCACATCGATGACCACTCGAACCAACATACAAACGACAATTCAAAGTTTTTCAATGCGGACCTAAGTATTAAATAGTCAACGAGAATGGAACTAATAATTGCATCAGCATCGACTGCGTCAAAGGAAACCCTATCACGTCAATTTTCCTCCGGTAAAATCGAACGTCACGACTCCTACATTCATAACACCTCATCTGACAACATGCACGATAATACTTTGGCAGTATCTGAAAATGGACTCAGAATAACGCGTTCTGGAAAAAGAGTGAAATTTACAGGACATGTAAACGAATATTGCGCGTAAGACACCAGTTAACAGTTTACTTCATCCCAATTTTCCTTTGTATTACATATGATAAAAAATTTTAAAATGCTTATACTTATATATTTACTCCAAAAATACAACTTTTTGCTAATATGTGTGTATTTAATTTTTTTTAGAAAAACCAAAAATTTCTTTCAAAATCGCTATCACGCAATCTCATGTGTGTAAGTTTATTTTCCTCTTCTCCCCCCTTTGTGTCCTTACGCGCGTACGAGTGTATTTCGACATGCACCTACCTATCCTATTTTTCTTTTCTAAGACGGTTGGAAAAGACGATAAAAAGAACGATGAAGTTTAAGAGGAACCGAAATTTCGATCGTACCTTGTTTCTTTATTACTTTATTGTACTATGTGGTCTGTTATAGTTGGGAAAGATGACCAGACGCTGCTAAAATCGTTACGCTAAGGAAGAAAATCGGTGACATATTTATCCAAGTAATTTGAACATCCCACAGGTGTTGAGAGATTGACAATGCCCTTGCCGGTAACACATTTGTAATCGATGTATGCCAACCCAGTCAAATCGGAAGTCAGAACTGAGGTGGTTCAAAGTTGCATTTGAAAGTCTATCGATGTCTCGTGAAACATTTGGTCCAAGCTGGCTAACGGTTGTACGGGGTATCTAGCATGGCGTGCCTCCCCCCAGTTATCTGATGTGAGTGCCTGATCAAGCGCCTTCAGCTAAGCGTATCAGGTAGAACTGGCGAGGTCGACATCAATGTGGAAGACCTACAGAACTACTGATTTCGGGCATAAAACAACACACTCCAGAAGAAAGTTAAGGTTTCCGAACGCTTCAACAACTGCTGAGTGTAGAAAACTGAATAAAATTTTCTTCCATCCTGTTTTTTTGTAATTTTACTTCAGAAAAACAAAGACAATATATGTTTTATGTAATATGCACTATATGTGAGCATATTTTTCTACTAAAAATCAAAACAACCATTGTGAGAAATTTGTTTCTGTCATTGCTTGTTATCAAAATTTATGTACACAAGTTTATTTTCCTTTTTTCTGCTATTCTGTGTTTTTATAAACGCACAAATGCATTTCGGCATGCGCCAACCTTCACTTTCCTTGTCTTTTTCAGGAGGACTCGAAAACATAAGAAACTAATGAAGAATACGAGGTACAGAAATTTTCATTGCACTTTTTTCAATGCTATTGTTACCCTATGGCCCCCTAGATCAGGGAATGACGAGCAGGCGCTGCTGAACATAGCAAGCTATCAGAGGAGTGTTTACAAACGACCAACCCACTGGGTTTATACTTCTGACTGGCCACATCTTAGGGTCATCACTGCTCAACTAGAGAAGAAGTAAGCTGTAGCGGTGAATAAATAGTTCTGTGGGTCGTTGGCATTGATGTTAACCCACTAGTTCTACTTGATACACTTAGCTGAAGGCGCTTGATCAGGAATTCACACCAGATAACTGGGGGAGGCACGCCATGCTAGACACCCCGTACAACCGTTAGCCAACTTGGACCAAATGTTTCACGAAACATCGATAGACTTTCAAATGCAACTTTGAACCACCTCAGTTCTGACTTCCGATCTGACTGGGTTGGCATACATCGATTATAAGGTGTTAAAGGTAAAGGCTTTGTCCAATTAATATTACGCATGTTGGCCCACTTCACCTCCATTTGTCAAAAACTCAAACATAGCAAGTTCCTAAATTTTCTAAAACAAGAATTAATCCTCTATCAAATCTGTGAATCACATCATTTATCTGAACACAGAATCAACGAAACATTTATTTCAATAATTTTCTTCATTGAGGTTTGAATACCTAGACTTTACGCGCTAACAATAAACGGTCCGAGAAGACAAAATCTGCCTTTATATTATTTAGCTTTATCTAGGTAAGTGTTATTCGGATTTTGTTATCTGTACTCAAATAAGACAGTGCCTTTATTTTTATTTGATGTGCGTGAATAAATTTACATAGTTTTTTGCCCATAAAATTTTAAAAATTTACAGGAACTCTAAATAACCCATCTTCACTGCATGAATGTCTAGTTAAGTTAGATAAGAAAATACCGAACTGACTTTAGCATGCACTACAATTTAAGCCGGCAATCACAGCTGCTTATGTAATCCATACTACTGTTCTGTTTATTTCACTAAACTGATAACCCAAGCAACCGAAAAAGAAATAATGGGGACATTCCAAATATAATTTAAGTAGGAATATCTCAAATTAAGTTAGGCCATTTAAGTGTCATACAATAACTACTATGTAAAAACTTAAGAAAGACAGATAGAAGCTTGGGCCAAGATGAACATATTGTACATTCTCAATCTAGGAGATTAGATCGATGGGCAGAACACTTTAGGGATCAGTTCAACTGGCCTTCAGCCACACTTCGGTTTCCCACGATCTCCAGTCAACCTAAATGGCAAGTTGATGTAGGTCCTCCGTTTCTTTACGAAGTAGAAAAACCATAGGAAATCTGAAGTGAGGGAGAGCAACAGGCCCTGTCAGGTTTACTCCTGAAGTTTTTAAGGATGGTGGTTCAGTATTAACAGTGAAATTAACTGAGGTCTTAGGTAGAATTTGGGAACTGGACGTAATCCCATCTGACTGGTCTCAATCACTGACTATGCCAGTTATTAAGAAAGGACAAAAGTCCTCTTGTGACAATCTCAGAGGAATCAGTTTGACAAATATAGTGTCTAAAATATTAGCTTCAATAATACCTCGACGCCTAACTAAAGCTCGCGAAGAGCAAACTAGAGAAAATCAGGCTGTTTTTCGACTTGGACGTGGTTGTATAGATCAGATATTCGCACTACGTCAGGTTCTAGAACACAGACACACATTCAGACGCCCCACAATGGTAGTCAGTCAGTCAGCTACAACGTAGGACCAGGCACATATGTGCATCAGTCCAGGTTGCCATACCTCATTAGCACAGCAAGATGAACAGCGGATTCACAGGAGTGGTTAGGTCAAAGGTTGCAATAAGGATATAGTATAGGAAGAAAGAATTAGTTCGTAGAAAGAAAGATATGAAGTGATTTTAGTCTCTTAGTTTAAGGGAAGACAGGGAGTGTATACACCGACGCCATTGTGATCGATTCTGAGCCATGTCACCAAGAGTCTCCAACCATTGATTACGATAGTCACGCGGACCCCAACCAAGTAGTCTGCATCTACCAACATGGCTCAGACTAGAAGTTAGTGACTTCAGGCACTGATGCCACGTTTTGGTTTGGCCGCCCCTAACTTTCTTCCAATCATCCCCTACCCCGGTTAGCATTGCACGTCGTGGTAATCGGTGTTCAGGCATACGTAATACGTGGCCCAACCATCTCAGTCGATGAAGATTCATAACCTCATCAACTGATTTACCATCATTCCCTAATACCCTGCGTCTAAGCTCACTATTACTTACCCGGTGATCCCAGCAGATGCCAGCAATATTTCTAAGGCATCTGTGGTCAAATACTAGTAACTTACGGGTGTCTTCTACTCTTAATGGCCATGTTTCGCTGCCGTAAATTAAAACAGAACGAACTGCCGCGCAGTATACTCGTCCTTTTATTGATAGACGGATATCTCGCCTTCGCCAAAGGTGACGTAAGTTGGCAAAAGCCAAACGAGCTTTTCGAATCCGTGCTGAGATTTCGTCAGACACCAACCCATTAGGGCTGATCAGACTTCCAAGATAAGTGAAGTTGTCAACGCGTTCAACTACTTCACTCCCCATCCTTAGTTCAGGTGTTGACACAGACCAGTCCTGAAGCAACAACTTGCATTTAGAGGGAGAGAAGCGCATTCCAAACATCCTGGCATTGTTGCTTAGTGCTACCAGAAGACTCTGCATTTCGTCAGCGTCTTCACCAAACAGGACTATGTCATCTGCCTATTCTAAGTCGATAAGTGGACCTCCTGGAAGGAGATCAATACCCGAGAATTCAGTCGACGAGAGTGTTATTTCCATCAATAGGTCTATGATGAAGTTAAACAAAAATGGACAAAGTGGGCAGCCTTGACGGACACCACTTGAGGTTGCAAAAGTAGATGACAGCTCGCCATAAGCCCTGACTCGACTAGTAGTGTTCGAGTAAAGAGCCTTCACAAGGTTTATGTACTTCTGGGGTACGCCTTTCAATGACAGGCACTGCCACAGAGTCTCGCGGTCTACAAAATCGAATGCTGCTTTTAAGTCAAGAAAGATCACCATCGTCGGACGCCGATAAGTATGCCTGTGTTCTAGAACCTGACGAATGGTGAATATGTGGTCGATGCAGCCACGACCAGGTCTAAAGCCAGCTTGGTTCTCTCGAGTTTATAGTTCACGAGTCTTAGTTAGGCGTTTGATAATTATCGAGGCCAGTATTTTAGATACTATGTTTGTTAAACTAATCCCTCTGTGGTTGTCACAGGATGATTTTGACCCTTTCTTATATATTGGGACGATAAGTGATTGCGACCAGTCAGATGGGATAAAGTCTAATTCCCAGATCTTAGCTAAAATATTAGTCAACTTAATCGCTAAAATTGGACCATCATCCTTAAAGACCTCTGGAGCCAATCCATCTGGACCAGCTGCCCTTCCTCGTTTCAGATTAACTATAGCCTTTTGAACTTCAGCAAGAGTCGGGGGACCTACTTCAATGTTCCATTCACACTGTCTGGGAATGGAGGGTAGTTGTAGAGTAGCTGAAGGCCAGCTGAACTGTTCCCTAAAGTGTTCCGCCCATCGTTCTAAACGCCTGGACTTGGAGCAGATGAGTGTATCGTCTTTTTCCGATATAATCTCACTTACACTTGACTTATTAATTCCAGTTTCTTTTATTAGTCTGTAAAGCTGTCTTGTGTTCCCTATAGTCGCCGCCTTTTCCATCTCTTTTGCTTTCGATGCCAACCACTGCTCACGGTCGTTTCTTAGGCTTTTTCTTAACCTAGATCTGATTTGTTTTCGCTCTTCATCATGTTCAGAACCTGATGGGAGGAGTTTGCGAGAATCCATCAGTGTGACAGACCTTGAAGAAATCCACTGGTTCCTTGCAACTCTGTGGTTTAATTCACTAATAGATGTCACTGCTGTTTCCACAGCTGATTGTATGCCCTTCCAAGCAACATCTGGGTCAGCCTCGTCTTCACAACTACCTAAGTGTGACCTCAGTTGTTCCTGGAACCTACTTTTGGTTTTCTCGTTACTCAACTCAGTTCTAACGGGTCTTTTTAATGTGGCTTTTTTGCGTCCAGTGAGGCGCAAGCAGATGCGTGCCCGTATTAAGGCATGGTCGGAGTCCAAGCAGGTACTCCAGAATGAGCGACAATCTTCTACCGACCCTCTCCAACGATGACTGATGGCAATATGGTCTATTTGAGTCCATCGTTGGTTTGGTGTAGGGGGTCGCCATGTTAGACGATGTCTCTCCTTATGCTTAAAATTTGTGTTTGCTAAAAATAAACGATTGTCTGAGCATAGCTGCAGCAGACGATCACCATTATCTGTTCGCTGTGTCGGAATACTAAAATATCCACCTAAATGCCTTTCTGTTTGGTTTAAACTGCCTATCTGAGCATTAAAATCACCTGCTACGAGTACTATGTCTGAACGTTTAGCTTTCTGAAGAAGTTCGGACAGCTTTCTGTAAAATTCATCTTTCACTTCATCTGAGCTGCAGTCAGTGGGAGCGTAGGCAGAAACGACAAAAAGGCAATGACGTGTGTCCCTATCCTTCCGAGTTCTTACGTAGCCGTTCAGCCGAACAGCACATAGACGACTGTTGACGGGGATCCACTCTAGCAGTGCTTGTTCGGCCCTCATGCATAGTGCTATGCCTACACCTGCCAGTCCACGAGAACTTGCCATCGGGTCACCAGATACACGAAGGGTGTACCTCGTTGGCTCTCCGTTTTGCCGAGGTGAGGTCAAGTGAATGACCACACTGGAATCCTGTATGCGTTTTTCGGAGACACAGCACACGTCAATGGTAAGAGACTCTAGGGTTTTAGCCAAGGAAGCCTGCTGACCGATTTGACATAGGGTTCGTACGTTGAAGGCTCCAATGTGTAGTTTGGAGCGAGGTTTCAGTAGACCTGGGACAGTATTTTGCGCACTAGAATCGTTGGCTATGGTGACACTTGAGAAGGAAGCCGGAAGAGGAAATTTAAAGTTGAAAGTCGATGTAGGAGGAATAATAGGAAATGAAGAGGAAGGTTGATTATGAATACAGTGGTCTTGAGTGCTGTTAGAGGTATGAGGGCGGTTTTCACTTCCCGGTTGCCCACACCGTGGAAGGGTTCTTCTGGAGGTACCTGAAAAGGAATTTGGATTAAAGGTGGTCTTAGTGACCTGAGAGCGTGACCGCAGTGCCCAAGGGACAACTGCTTGAGGTCGGTCACACACGACCTTGTTATGGGTAATTTTTGTGTTAGCTCCGTACTTATTGAGACCTTACCGCCGGAGACGGATATCCGTGGGATAGGGCGAGGTGTGCATTTTTAGGGTCGACCTTTTCTAACCCCACCCCTCCTTGTGGGAAGGCAGCATCGCTGTCATGCTGGTTGTCTGAAGGAAACACCTTACTGCTGTCACACATCTGTACAGTCAGCAGTACGACTTCGCCTTCGGACCTTGGGTTTGTTGCTTTTAGTCTTACCGCTCTTCAACCGACCTGTCTGACATGGTAGGACCTTGAGGAACGGTTGTTCCAGCCAGTATAGCTCGGTTGCTTCATCACGATAGGCAAGCCCGACCACCACGTCAAGGTAGCAACAACGGTCGGGACAATGGTAGTATTTCTCGGACTTAAGGCGGCATTCGACTGTTGATCGTGAGGTTCTATGGCAGTGTTTGTCACTGAAAGGAGTACCAAAGAAGTACATTAACCTTGTAAAGGCTCTCTACTCGAACACAACTGGTCGAGTGAGAGCCTATGGCGAACTGTCATCAGAATTGATTACCTCAAGTGGTGTTGGTCAGGGCTGTCCACTCCCTCCATTCTTGTTTAACTTTGTCGTTGACGTACTTTTAGAAATAACACTTTCCTCGTCTATATTTCCAGGGGTTGAACTTCTACCGGGAGGTTCACTTGTTGACTTGGAATATGCCGATGATATAGTTCTGTTTGGTGAGGACTGTGACAAAATGTAGAGTCTTCTGACCACCATAAGCAACAGTGCAAGCATGTTCAGGATGCGATTCCCCCCCTCGAAATGCAAAATGTTGTTTCAGGATTGAGTTGCCTCGACAACTGAACTAATGATTGGGAGTGAAATAATTGAGCGTGTCGATCGCTTCATTTATCTCGGAAGTCTCGTCAGCCATTGTGGTCTGGTGTGACGAAATCTCAGCACGAATACAGAAGGCTCGACTAGCTTTTACCAACCTGCGTCATTTATGGCGTAGGCGAGATATCCGTCTATCAACCAAAGGACGTGTTTACTGTGCAGCAGTTCGTTCCGTCCTACTTTATGGCAGTGAAACATGACCGGTAAGAGTAGAGGATATCCGTAGGTTACTAGTATTTGATCATAGGTGTCTTCGAAATATTGCTCGTATATCGTGGGACCATCGAGTAAGTAATGCAGTTGTTAGGAAACGGGTACTAGGTAAGGATGGCAAATCAATTGATGATCTAGTGAAACTTCATGAGTTAAGATGGCTGGGACATGTGGTACGTATGCCCAACAATCGACTGCCCCAACGAGCGATGTTTTGTTGTATAGGAATAGATTGGAAGAAAGCTAGGGTAGGCCAGACCAAAACATGGCACAATTCCATGAAGTCACTGACAAGTGGACTGAGTCATGTTGGTAGGTGTAGACTACCTGGTTGGGGGCCGCGAGATGATAGCAACCGACGGTTAGAGACCCTGAATGACATGGCTCAAAATCGTTTGCAATGGCGCAGGTGCATACACTCTTTGTGTTCTCTCAAATTTTGATCTTCTTATTCCTCCTTGTCTTTTTTTCTCTTCCCAAATTTACTTCACTGTATTATGCTCCTTGAATAACATCTTCAAACCCTAATTTTTCTCATTACAGCTTGTAATTTTACTAGATCTAGCACTACGGGATTTGAATCGACCACTGTATCTCTGTGCTAATGTTGTGTGGCAACTCGAACTGATGTACGTTCGTACGAAGTTCTACATTGTTACTGACTGACTGGGCCAAGGATACAGGCTTAGCAGTCCTATGACGCATAAAAGCGGAATTCGACTCTGTAGACCGAAAGGTTCTGTGGCAGTGTCTCTCATTGAAAGATGTGCCTTAGAAGTACATAAACCTTGTGATAGCTCTCTACTCGAACACCGCCAGTTGAGTCAGAGTTTATGGCGAACTGTCATCTGATTTTGCAACCTCAAGAGGTGTCCGTCAAGGCTGTCCACTTTCTCCATTTTTGTTTAACTTAATCAAAGATCTACTGATGGAAATAACATTCTTGTCGACTGAATTTTCGAGAATTGATCTTCCAGGAGGTCCACTTATCGACTTAGAATACACAGACGACATAGTACTGTTTGGTGAAGACGCTGATAAAATGCAGTCTTTTGGTAGCACTGAGCAACAATGTCAGAATGTTTGGAATGCGCGTCTCTACCTCTAAATCCAAGTTGTTGCTTCAGGACTGGTCTGTGTCAACACCTGAACTAAGGATAGAGAATGAAGAAGTCGAACGCGTTGACAATTTCACTTATCTTGGAAGTTTGATCAGCCCTAATGAGTTGGTGTCTGACGAAATCTCAGCACGGATTCGAGAAGCTCGTTTCGCTTTTGCCAACTTACGTCACCTATGGCGAAGACGAGATATCCGTCTATCAATTAACGGACGAGTATACTGCGTAGCAGTTCGTTATGTTCTACTTTACGGCTGCGAAACGTGGCCATTAAGAGTAGAAGATACTCGTAAATCACTTGTATTTGATCACAGATGTCTTAGAAATATTGCTCATATCTGCTGGGATCACCGGGTAAATAATAGTGAGGTTATACTCAGGCGATTGGGAAATGATGGTAAATCAGTTGACGAGGTTGTGGATCTTCATCGACTGATGGTTGGGTCACGTGTTACGCATACACAACCACAGACTACCACGGCGCGCAATGCTGACTAGTGTTGGAGACGGTTGGAAGGAAGTTAGGGGCTATCAAACCAAAACGTGGCATCAGTGCCTGAAGTCACTAACTTCTAGTCTGAGACATGTTGGTAGATGCAGACTACTTGGTTGGAGACTTTGGGTGACATGGCTCAGAATCGATCACAATGGCGTCGGTGTATGCACTCTTTGTACACCCTTGTAACGATTAATTTTTGTAAACTGAGATAATTCGTGCTATGGCTTATTTTCTACTTTACATTTAAGCTGTTCAGTGTTGGCCATTAGTCTAGCTATAAATTTAGACGTATTAGATGCTGCAATTTACAAATCGAATTCGGAACTGTTCTGCGTACCTATGCAACGAACTGCTCATGCTATTCTCCTACTGCAATGTTCATAATAGTTGCTTAATATCCTCATTTTTGTTCACTATTGTCATAGACATGATCATAGATATGTTCTCGTCTACATCCGCGTAAATTGGTTTTCTAGAAGAAAATTTATCTAACGACACATCTTAGTAATATTTATTTCCCTTGTAGCCCGTTACGTCTAAAATGACTAACGTCAATATTCAATATGATAACGCGCTACTGGGTATTCTCCAAAACGAAGGGAAGTTAGAGAAGTTTTTAGATGTGATATTCGGGTTCTTAATGCGCAGGTATCTATTGTAACACAGGATTTTGATTGTCTTCAGGACCGACTTTTTCTATATTATGACACCAGAACAAAAAAAAATAGGTTTCCCACCTGGTGTGAGCATCGAAATGATTCTTAAGGTGTGTTGTAATATCAAAATATTTTCCAGGCTTACGAGAAATATAAAACAATATTTGAGGGTTACCAGCGTCATCGTCAAGTAGACACCAACCAACCAACCAGTAAGTCCCTTTCCCGGTTCACTTTAAGAAATTGTAGAATCAGTCACCAAAGAAGAAACAAAACAGTCAAATACCACTGACTTACCTTCAAACGATGATAAAAAAGTATCTGGGTGTCCATCAAGCGTCACAAACTTAACATCGAAAAGTGAAGAGTATGTGTTTGTAAATAGAGTTTACTTCCAATAACTAGAAATGATGAATTTAAAGTTTATCAGGCAGATCCCGATTGCTACAACGGAGCCAATAGAGATAAATACACATGGAGCCAGACTATCAAGGATATTGATATTAAAATAAAGGTTTTTATGCTCTTAATTTAAATAACTTTATCGCATACAGATACCAGAAAACGTGGATGCTCGCAATATTTCTGTTAATATTGAACGCAAACATATTCGTGTTTCAATTCAAAAAGACAAGAAAGAAATTTTTTGTTTCGATGGGGATTTGTGTTGGGAGATTCACAAGAATGATGCTATCTGGACCTTCCACTCCAAAGAAAATCAAGTCAGTTATCAGTCCATTGATTATACATCTTGAATTTATGTTCGTGGGACTCTTGTTATTGCTAAAATGAATCTATCAAAATGACCCCATTACTCCCACATGTACTGATACATTTGCGGGTGCCCATATACCTCGTACCGAAAAAATATCACATTTGGTGTACGAGTGTTATTGTACTAGTATATAGATGTTAGCGCGTTAGTCAGTGAATTAAAGTCAATGCAAGAACTAACACAAATTTAATAATAAAAATCACATTTCAGTTATCAAAATGAAGCATAATGGTAATATAGAACCTCCAACCTGCAGGTTATTATCAATCATGTTTTATTTAATTAGATTAAACACGAGTCCATAACCTAGTCAGTTAGTCCATGTTTTGGTTGCTTCTAGTCTCCATTGTTTCACGTAAAAATAAACTATTTAAACTCACGTAGTTAATATGTTAAACAAAGCATACTGTCTTCCTAAAACCTAGGTGCTGACTGCTACTTTCCCTCTGAAGTATGTTACCAAACCATATCGTTAACTAAGACACACTGAAAGCAATTATAACTCAAGTGTCATGATCACTCGGTTATAAAGTAACAAATATAAATTGAATTAATCTGAAATCGACTTATCTTAAACCGTGAGAATAAAATTACTCTGTACCTTTCTTTCTACGAAGTCACCCTTCCTTCCTGTATCATATTCTTATACACAATCTTTCTTTTATATATTATCACCATCGAAGTTACTACTTCTGTGAATTTGGTGTTCATCTTGTTGTGCTAACGAGGTATGACACCTTGAACTGATGTATAAATGTGCCTAGTCTCACGTTGTAGTGGACTGAGTGACCGACCCGAAAGGAGAACTGGGTTAGTAGTAGTCTCAGCAACCTGAAAGTGTGACCCAAGGGACCACTGTTCGAGGCATTTTGGAAGTCTCTATCGTCAGAGACGGTCACTCGTGGGGTAGTGTGGCATTTTTAGGGTCAAACTTTCCTAACCCCCTCATTTCGTAGTGAGGGCATATTGTCGCTGTAGATGCCGGTTATCTGAGGAAAGCATCTTGCTGTCACCACACCTGTACAGTTAACAGTACGACTTCGCCCTCGAACCAAGAGCTTACTACTTTTAGTCTTACCGTGCTCCAACCGACCTGTCTGTCATGATAGGACATAAGGGAACAATTGTCCCAGCTGATATACCTCGATTAGGTCAATATGATATTCAAACTCGACCACCACGTCGAGGTAGCAACCACAGTCTACCCGACGGACAGATAACAGTAACTACCTACTACAATTTCTCTCAGAAAACCGATCATTCCTAGCAGGTAAAAACTTGAGACATAAGCACAGACACTGTTCAAACTAGGAACCCCCAACACAAACACAGTGTTGAACACGAGCGGATTTATCCCCATCGCGCATCGTTAGAGAGGTTCGATTGAAAACTGCTGCTATTACTAAAGTACACACATGGATTATGATCATGCCGCAGTAAATATACGCATCTATGCATTTCACTAAACGTATGGAAGTCACAGCAAGAAAATTACTTAGGTGTCAACTGAAGAACATCTGGAACTCAAAACAAATGTCAACCAACACCAAGGTCAGGACTTTCAATACAAATGTCAAGACAGTTCTACTGTATGGGGCGGGAACCTGGCGAACTACGAAAGCCATCATCCACAAGATACAGGTGTTTATCAACAGTTGTCTACGCAAAATACTTCAGATCCGTTGGCCAGACACTATCAGCAACGATGTACTGTGGGAGAGAACAAACCAGATCCCAGCGGAGGAAGAAATCAGGAAGAAGCGCTGGAAGTGGGTAGGACACACATTAAGGAAAGCATCCAACTGCGTCACGATGCAAGCCCTCACATGGAATCCTGAAAGCCAAAGGAGAAGAGTAAGACCAAGAAACACATTATGCCGAGAAATTGAGACAGACATGAGAAATATGAACAAAAATTGGATAGAACTGAAAAGGAAGGCCCAGGACAGAGTGGGTTGGAGAATGCTGGTCGGCGGCCTATGCTCCATTGGGAGTAACAGGTGTAAGTAAGTAAGTAATGCATTTCACTAAACATAGGGAAGTCACAGAAAGAAGACTCCTTAGGTGTCGATTTGTAGATGAAAAGATCAACGACGCATTCAGGGGGAAATTAGCTAAGGACCTAGTCGGGTGTAGAGAAATAGTTCATCTTAAAGAAGCTTGGAAAAATATCCAAGCAGCCGCAAATACAACCGTTGCATCTATCAATTACTGAAATCAAAAAGTTAGAAAAACCCAGTGGATCTCGATGGCATCTACTGAGTTGATAAAAGCCCAAAAAAATCATCCCGACAAGCTTTAAGAATGATAATAAGCAACTATAACTCAAACATGAACCAACAAAATGTTTGCCTAATGGTCGTGGGGAGAGATGAAAAACGAAAAAGAGATGGAGAGGGCAACAACGATAAGTTATAGCAGACAATTGTTCATACTTATCAACGAAGTGGGTATTAAAAGGTAAGTGTTGATGACACCATCCCATTAAAGGACGGGACTATTATTTTTCTAATGTCGTCATAGATGTCCTCCTAGGAATAACACTCTTCATCTAACTTCTCAGGAGTTGATCTCTTCCCAGGATACCCACTAGTTGACTTACAATATTCGAGTGATAATCCTGTTTAGTAAAGGTGGTGATAAAATTCACTCTTCTGACCGCTTCTATCAACAGTGCAAACATGTGAGAAATGTTGCTTCAAGACTGGTCTGTGTCACCGCTTGAACTATTGATAGGGAGTGAAGTAGTTGAGCGTGTCGACCACTTTGGGAAGTCTTATCAGTCTCGGTAGGTTGGCGTCTCATGAGATCTCGACACAAACCCAGGAAGTTCGGTTGGCCTTTGGCAACTTTCGCCACGTGTTGTGTAGGTGAGATATCCATCTGCTAACCAAGGGTATGTGAAAAATGATCGTTGATCGCAGAAGAGATGCGTAGACTAAAGGTTTTTAATCATAGGTGTCCTCGAAGCATTGCTCACATTTCGTGGAACGACTAAGTGGGCAGTGTGGACGATGAACATAGGTACTTGATGATGATGGGGGGTCGGTTGTAAATGAATATCTGTTTTTGTACTCCCCTGAGTCAAGAATATGGTTATTGTTTATGTTTAATTCTGAGTATCATTCAAAACCTTTATTCAATCATTTTAATATTACGTGATATAACTGCTGTAACGAATGTTTGCTCAAGTTATTATTTTTTCAATCAAGATCCAGCTGTGTCTTGACAAGGTTCAGGAACGGTGGTGGGAAGCTGCTTTTGATGGGGAAGACAAACTAAACACACGGAAAATCGATTGCTCTCGGCCTATGCACGAACTAGACGATGAGGCGCAGGCTAAAATCCAACAGTTAATGTACGATGAACAGCGCAAACGCCAAGGACTACTTACTAGCGAACAAGAAGTAAGTGTTGATTCTATTAGCATCTGCTGTTCATCCATTTACATTGCTTTGTAAGTATTTATGAGATCAAAATTGTAGGAACTATGTTGAGCCCATCGCTACTTTGACGCACCGTTAGGCCATTCAGAACTTGTAAATTATTGGAGATTAAATAATCATTCTTCATATATGCTACCTTATCAAGATTGTTTGGTGGCTGTAAGGATCCCAGATGTTAAAAGCTTAGTGAATGGTCTTTAGTAATACCTCTATTAAAATTACGAATTTCCCTGTCTTAAGTATTTGAAGTCATAAGAAATCTTAAACAAATATTAAATCGGTATATATGCAAATATAAATACTGAACATATCTTTTTTTTCTAATTATTTCAGAAAATGAAAAACATACTCGCCAGTGCTTGGAACAAAGAGGGTTCACCTTTTCGAGGAACTCCGTATGACCCTAGTCAAGTCAAAATAGACGGCACAAGTATGCACATTCAAACCCAACCGATGTGAAGATGAACCAAAGAGAACAATTATATTAACTCCATGTATAAGGTTCATAGGAGTCAAAATATGTTGAAATCGTAAAACTGTTTTGTTGATACTAAATAAAAAAGCGAATTTCTTATCCCTACTATTAACTCGTTAATTTTCTAAATTAATGGAACCAAAATTAGGCCGTTAGCCTTTCCGTTACCTGGATTTCTACTTTTAGTTTTTTTCGCTCCAAATGGTTGGAGATTACAGAATCCAACGTCACATCCCCATGTTGAATTAGTCGGTACTAACATGTTGGGCTAAATATATTTTATGTGAACTTACCTTATCTCATGCAACCAATTAAGCCAGTTGGTGCAACTGACTCTTTCGACCACGTAAAGTTGTGGGTATCGAAATAGCATTAATTTTAAAGTCAAGACATGTTCCTAGTTCTAGTTGTTAATCACTTCTGTCCTATTTAAAGGGCTGGGAAGATATCTATTTTCCCCACCTGTATACTCATCTATTTGAATTTGATGTCACAAACAACTAAAATGTTCAAACCAAATAGGCAGTCCCGGTTACATCGTCACTTCAAAAGGACATTAATTGGCGAGGAGTGGGCTTAACGATTTGTTAAACCACCCTTGATGCTTAAACTATAACTAAACCTACCTCTAGATTGGAGAAAAATATCAAGACATTCTGTTTAATCTTTGAACAATTGATAAATTGCAATTGTGAGATCACTAAACCCTAATTAAAATGATCAACACCCAAGGAGTAATAGTCAGGAATTATTAGTTAGGACAACCATTAAACTAAGGTAACAGGACTAGTGTGAACCAATAACCTATCAGGTTTTTACATATGATGCCCCTAATAAATAATTGTTTTGACTACTACTCTTCCAAACCATAGGGTTCACCTCACTGGGACTGGAGAATAGCGAATGGCATCCTCGATTTCAAACGTGCTGACCACGCCGAGACAAGAAACGCCATTCTTGAACTGAAACATGACCTTATATCTCAGGTATGAGTTAGTATTGTAGTTATCATCCGAAGTGTATTCGACGAAATAATGTGTGATTTCACATACCTTTCTAGAACTAATCAATCTAAAAACTCAATCAGTTAGTAGTAGGCACGTAAAATGTAGGTGCCTAGGTCAACGTCTTGGGATCCGTAGGTTGTTTCTCATATCTAATAGATACCAGATAATTCTTAAAAGCTAGCTTGGTCGTATGATAGGTTGAAAAACGAAGTCCCGTGACTGCAAGCTGTGCTAACTCTTAAAGAAAACATGAAAAGCCTAAAGGGTTTCAGTACTTTGTTTGTTTGCTTTTAAAGCATTAACTGTGTGGTGGCGATCCACTGATACAAATGTGGGTATTTTTTTTGTTTTTCTGTGTACTCGTAAAATATGACCACATGAACTGATGCACTATAGTGAAAACCGACGAAGCAACTGTCCCAAAATAATTATCTTGTTGTTAGCAGATTACTATGTGTTGAGATTAATGACTAATTAAAAGCTAGAGCATGAAGGCTAAAGATACTACTAAATTATTAAGTGGAATGCGTTTTAAGCTAACTTTCGATGTCCGAGTGCTTAAATCACTGAACAATTGTGTGGTGCTTTTGATCCCAAGGAGGTAGTCACCTAGGTTATCCCATATAGGAAAACATGATGGACTGATACCTGTTTAAAACCTTGTCACGGTATCTTTAATTAAAATTAGAGGTCGCATATACTAGTTGCAGAGGGTTATAAGTATGAATTTTCTGGACACATGATTATAAAGCTTTTAAAGTATAAACGAAGCAATTTTGTTTTTGGTGGATTAACATTTAAAATGCACAGAAAGCAATTATATATATATAGCTGTTTAAAGTCACCATGAACGTCGTATTGGTAAAGATCATGATAACTATTACACGTATAAATTTCAAAAGTAAAACCGCTAAGTAAGATAAACAGTTAACCGAATGGTGTATTAATTTTTTTACTCATGGTGATCACGTAGCAAACCCAACGCCAAAGAGACGCCTGTTGCTGAATTTGGCATATCTGTAACCTGAATAACTGGACGTGATTTTGGTTTTTTTGGATTCCTTGATCTGCTTTTAGTTTTACATAGTGGGCATATTGGAGCGTTTCGATGAATCAACTGTTGACACGCTTGACATGTCTTCATGGGTGGACATTGTGCAATCAACTGAGATTCGTTTGTATGGAGCAATGACTCACCAAAATCTAGACTAACTGACTTGACCTGATTACGTAGGGAAGTTGACGGAGATTCCGAACTGATATGGTCTAGATTACAATCAGACAAACTTGTATATCTGCGAAAGTTAACCTGGAAATGTTCGTTATTCGGCCACGGTGAAACGCTAAAATTACGATTGTGCACGCCTCCTTCACGCTTATTTCTTTCTTCGTTAAAGGGAAAGTCATCAAGTACTTCACTGTCTAGTGAAAAATTAAAACAAAGTAAGATTAACAACAAGACTGATAAATCTTGATTTCAATTTTTGTTATCAATCTTAGCCTGAAGATTGGATACCTACAGAACATTTAGAGCCAAATTAAACCAGTAATATGTAAAAAATTTCTGACCGTGGCTACTTACCGTATCACTACTTTACCGTAATGACCCAGAAGGGCTTTATTGGCTGAAACACTTATTTCTGATGTTCTGTTATACCAAGCAGGTTGGTTAAATAGCAATGAAGTATATGAGTATCGTCGCGCAAGCGATTGAATTGGGCTGTTATGGGAGTGAAGGGTATTTAACGAATAAGCAGCTCCTCTGACAACATTGTGTTGCCTGGATGGAACGGCTAGTAATGGTCAGTCCTAAAAACAGTACATTTCACCTCGACACAGATTTACAGTGCCGATGATCAGAAAAGTACAGAGTTAGTACACCCATAACTTACAAAAATCCCGTGTCCCTGTCTTAGGGAGTTGTTGTTTGGACCTAGCTTCTGTGCCTTAAATGTTGACAACACCACTTCTAACCTATTTTGCTATATGAATTTCTTAAGAGACTTCTTTTAAAGTGTGGGTGACCGTGAAGTCATAACTACTCATCCATCCTCCATTCATAAAAATGTATCCTATCGATGCCGTTAACATCTCTTCTGGATACAACTTTTTCTTCTATGTCCGAACAACGCTGACTTCGTGTATTCACGAAGTCTTTTCCTGGTCTTCTAAATCAAGCTCTAAACTAGGTATCGAAACTTTTAGTGTCAATCACACATAGGCTTCATTAGGTAAGGCTCTAAATTATCGTGTCAGTGACAAATACTGTTTCTGAAAATCATGGAGGATCCAAGTGGTCTTATCTAATCAACTTGGAAGACCAGTGAGATTTACCATTCAAATATCTGGTTATTTGAAAGCTTCCTGCGTTTTCATGACGTGAGTAAGAGAATGAATTTGGAAAGTAGAACAAACTCCGACAAAATAAATTCACCTCAACAGTCTTATATTAAGTGTCCAATCAAATGTAAGCGAGACGTCAGGTTACGCGTAGTTTTCGTCTACGCTTTGATTCACTGCAGTTTTGATGAACTGATTAGACCAATTTACAGGGAGCTTGATCTTTTTAAAAAGCTAGACACTCGTTGATAGTGATCTAAGCATCCAAGTAGGAAAGCAAACCCTAGATAAAGACACTGCTGGACACCAGCACAGATAATGGAGATCGCGTGGTGCACTTATACATAGACGACCATTAATTTTTAGTAAGAACCAACTAAGGCATTGAGAAGCAACATTGCCTGACACAGCGACTTCGACATTAGCTCAAGGAAGTAACTAAGTAAATCCCATCAGATATCGTTCAGTAAGAGACTGCCGCTCCTTCTTGGACACATCTAAAATGTGATCATGCTTTAGCTTCAGAACGCTTCCTTTTATGGTCCAAGATGTTGCACTGGGAAATCCTGTTAGAACTTAGCTTAACGATAAAGAAGTTGGTTGATGTTAAAAATAAATAAAAAGTCTGAAAACGACAGAAAAATTACACTTCCGTTAGTACTAGGCACAGTTCTTGACAGGCTGTTATTGGCCTAAATGAGAGATTCTCTAGACACCCATGTAGCGAAACTGCGGATCACTGTTGAACAATCACTTAAATGAAGCTCGTCACCATACATCAACTTCCCTGACTACGAGGAAGCATTCAACAGCACGGATAGGAGGACCCTGTGGAACCTTCTTCGACATTACGGAGTACCTGAGTCGTCACCATCATGCAGAGCTCCTACGAAGGGCCAAATCGCAGTCTTGCATGCAAGAAATCTCACACGTCCATTCCAAGTGCTTACTCCCGTCTCATACCTTTCTTCTGGTTGTTGGCTGCATTATGAGGACCTCCGGTTCTCGTGAAGAGGATGGGATACAGTAAGATACTTTGGACGCAGCTGGACGATTTGGACTTTGAAGATCATTTAGCCATGTTACCACATGCACAACGATAAATGCACGCGGTTTATCAGTGTTGCAGCAACCTACGCAGAAAGACATTAAAATTCGCAAGTGAGGAAGCAAGACTCTGAAATACAATAGTGAGCATCAAACAAGTCCCATTCGGTGGCAAAGCTCTGACAGAGATGGAAGCGTTTGGGTGCCCACCTGGATAGCATCATCGATAAACATGAAGGACTTGGTGCAAATGTGAAGGCACGAATTGCCAAGCGAAGACGATATTCATACAAAAGAACTGTTACTCAACACCAAACTCGGGATTCTCAACGCAAACATTAAAACAGTTCTATTGTGTTGGGTTGAAACTTGAAAGACTTCCAGCACCATCATCAGGTATTCATAACTAGTTGCGACTCAAGGTACTCCAGACACATTGGCTAAACTACTAGCAATAACCTACGCTGGGCAAGAACAAGTCAGCTGCCAGTTGAGGAGGAAATTAAGAAAAGAAACTGGAGATGGATAAGACACTGTTCGGAAATCATTGAACTGAATCACGGTTCCAAGCCTTAACATGATACTCTCAA